TTACGGTTCACACCGTGACATAGTTGGCGAGATAGAACAAAAATTAAATATGGGTAAAAAGAGTTGTTTTCTAGATCCCTAGCTAGATAGATGATTTTACTATATTTAATTTAATGGAGTTTTGGTTGATGTATTTACATTTGAAATTAATACACTAGTTAGGGTGCGCCACTCGCTTGCCGAATACATTAGCGGCCTGATTTGTCTTCGGGATTACATCAAACGTTCGGACGCGTCACGTGGGGATAATGATAAAGCTGTAGACAACCATGTCTGCGAAGTCCACCCGGAAAGCACAACAACTTGACGGATTGTTTGCCTAGAGCGAGACAAATCATTCCTCCTCAACATACCCTTGCATGATGAGCGACCTGCTGAATTATATTCTCACTAACGAGGAAGCATTCCGAAGGTAAAGGACCAAGTCTCAAAGAGGAGCCGTAAAGCCCACCGAAATAGAGGAAGAATATCATGCTAACCTTCAGTTTTATATTCTCAGAAACCGTTTACCTTCCCTATACTCCGATTTTACCCCTCAGAAGAAGACAAACCCCGATGGCTACTTTGTTAACGTCGCCGCATGGGAACAAGCACTCAACCGAGCCGCAAAGTACGGCTATACCTCCTCACGTGGTGTGCGGGTGCGTTCCGGCTCGACTATATCAGCTAAGAGCGGAACATCGCCTGCGAAACGAAAGAAGACAGACCACCTGATTCTGCGAACGGATGAGTCGCTGCTCCGGGATTTAGAGAGTCCAGAGTGGGGGAGACCCGTAGCTCTAGGCACTGTATTTGTGGGTCTATTATCTACCTTTTGGATGGCAGAACTGTCGAGCTAACCAATGGGTGTTCTAGGATGAGGCAGTGCGCAACAATTTAATGATCCCATTGCCAGTTTACAAGACCACTGCTGGGCTTTTGCAAAAGAAAAGCCTGTGGAAGCTTATTGATCCAGGGGTTCTGAGTCCTTGGAATGTTATGGGCTGGGGAGTGCGGCAACTCAAAGGCTTTGTCGTAGGTTCTGAGAGCGATTCGGCACCGAAGCTGCAAGTGCAGGAGCTGGTCTTGGTAGAGAACCTACGGGAAGCAGCAGACCTAGCAGTTAAGAGAGCCACAGGCGGCAACTCATCCAAGCTTGACCTTATTTACTCCAAGGAAAGCTTTGTTGAAGAGTTCGCGGCCATACTAAATGATGCTACGGAATTATCAGATGCAGATTTTGATGTCTTGTTGCTTTATTTATCACGCGATAGCAGTGCTATTGCGTATGACGGCAAGGTTAGTTGGACTATATAAGGATGACCAGAATACCCTGATACTGACCGATTGATCGCTAGACAATCAAGTTCAAATCGGCAGATGAATCGCCGGAGATCACCAAACAGGACACAACCATTGCATCCATCAAGACGTTGGTGTCGACAATATCGAAACAGGTCACAAGCCTGGAAGGAAAGATCGCTGAGCTGACAGCGTCTGCAAAGACGGCCTTGGCAAATAAGAACCGCATATCAGCGCTGTCCGCTGTGCGTTCCAAGAAGATGGCTGAACACAACCTCCAGCAGAGATTTAACACCCTAATGCAGCTCGAGGAGGTTTATTCCAAGATCGAGCAAGCTGCCGGCCAGGTGGATATGGTGCAGGTCTTACAAGCGAGTGCTGGTGTGCTTCGTAGTCTTCATACTCAGATCGGCGGTGCGGAGAGAGTTGAGGACATTGTTGAGGAATTGCGGGAGGAGATGAGCAAGGTAGATGAGGTCGGAAGCATCATGAACGAGGCCGGCCCGGTCATTGACGAGGGAGAGATTGATGATGAGCTTGCGGAGATGGAGCAGAGCGACAGAGAGGCGAGAGAGAGGGAGGAGGCAGAAGTCACCAAGAACAGGCTTGCCGAACTGGACAGTGTCAAGCAAGCCTCTGATGAGGCCTCCCGCCGAGCACGTGCAGCCGAAGATGCGAACTCGGCGCTCACAGATAGCATTGTTGACAGGCTCTCCAACATGTCTGTCGAAGACCGCCCGATGCAAGCAAACTGAGACTGTCCAAAATGTGGAAGAGGAATTTGTATTAGCGAAAGGAGAATTTGCTCTTCTGGGTGACTCTCAATTCGAGTTCAATGTGGTTTGTTTTGAGATCACCCGGATAGGTCGATGACATGATTGGCATCGGTATCTGGGCCAAACTCAACGCCTCCACCATTCACTGGTAATCCAGCACCCTGGGGCTTGGGTTGTGGTTGCCTATTCCCAGACGGAGATGAAGTTTCTACAGGGATGGTTGAACGTGCCTGGGCCTCACTTTTTTTCCGCGCATTCGCGATCAAACGCTTGAAATCTTCATCGTGGTTATTTGACCACTCCTTGGCATCGAAGTCCTTGCGCATCACATTACTGGAAGTGGTGAATGGCGACGGCGCCGTCGCATGACCACCCTGTGTGCGTTCCCAAATTTCCAGTTCTTGGAGCAACATCCGCTTAGACTTGGGGTGTTTGGAGTCGCAATTTGCATTCCACAAGTTCATCCATTCCGTGTGACGTCTCTGCAACAACTGTTTTTGTCCCCAGTCCGGTATTCCAAGATCACGGAGCTTCTTCCGCAATGCGTTATCCTTTAATATGGAGTAGTTTATGGCCGGAAGCCGCTCGGGCTGTTTGCTGGGGAGGGTAAGGCCTTTTTGGGATGCGTCTTTTAATGAGCTGTAATTGTTGTCCAATTAGCGCCATGTTCTAAATCTATGCAATTGAATTAACATACCCGAAAGACGCTGGCTTTGTAGGGGTCTTCTTGGGTGCCTCTTCTTCCTGTTGGTGTATATTCAGGTGCGGAAACACTGCCTCTTCCTTCATTTTTCGATGGCATATTGGGCAAGCAACCAACCCATCTTCTGTGAATCGATTAGAATGGTCTGGTATCCGTGTGATGAAAGTGTCATACCGGGCATATATTCTTCATCGTCCTGACTATCATCAATGACCTCGGGTACGATCTGAGGAACAGTCTGCTCTTCTGCCGAGCTGTTTATGGATCTTTGAGAGCGAGTTCGTCGGCCTGGCGAACTTGTTTCTGGGACCTGTAGCTGCTCCTCTTCCACCTGATCGACCTTCCGCTTCTTTCGGGCCGGTTTCTCTATTTTTTCTTGCCCACTAGCAAGGCGAGTTTTTTCTCTTCTTGCAAGGTCGAGTACACCAGGTCGTGCCAATTTGAACGCGTCGACGAGTTCCTGCACTGCCCAATTACGACGAAGTTTGAGCTCCTGGTCGGAGCTCCGACAAGCCGGACATTTGCCTTCGGCGCTGAGGCAACGGCGAATACACAACGAGCAAAATGTGTGACTGCAGGACGTTATAACGGGGTTATCAAAGAAGTCTTTGCAGACTTGACATCGTAGTGAGGATTCGAACGGCGCGAGTAATGAAAGTGGCGTTTCCAACCAATCGGTGGAGTCGGCGAGCTCGAACGACTGATCCATTGAATCGAGGCCTAGATGCTGAGCTTTTGAGCCTTTTTCTGTGGAAATCCCAACCAAAGTCGCCCGGCAATAGCTAACAAAGAGAGTGTGAGTGGAGAGCCGCCTGAGCAGGAGACCGCAAATGCCAAGACCCGCTGACTGATACGCGTTAAGTGGTTGAGCACGCGTCGGAGCAACTTGCACTTCGGCAGCAACCATGGACTCGAAATTGTATCTGGCTGAGAATATTCTCAATGAGCGGCGCCCTGTATGATTTCCGCTATGCCCTTCTGACAAGCCGGAGCTTACTAGTATTAGGTCACATATCGCTTATTGAGCCGCGCGCTCAAAGTGCACGCCGACCGAGCCAAACAGTAAGCTCTGTGTTCGCAGCAGCAGAATTCGGATGTGGAATTGACGCTGACGATCCGTTGCAAAGTATCCTTTTTGAATTCCACCGCAACGAGAACGCGAAGAAGCCACAGACCGTCCACGCAACCTACGTCATCTCCGGTATCCAGAAAGCGCCCGAGCCGGCCAGTACGAACGACCATGCGGACGATGAAGATGAGATGATGCAAAGTAGTCCCTACTTACCCAGCTCAATACCGAACCAGGATGCATCCTCGGACTCGATTCGGACTACCTCCATTGTGTTGGCACGCGAGGAAGACCTGGAAGGTCCGTAGATTCAATGTTGGTGATGGACCGATTACTGAATGAGTCGGGCAGATGCAAAATCAACATTCCAATCGATATCTACAATCCATGTCTACAGTCTTGAGTCTGCAGCTCTGCCGGATCTGAATGTGTTGGTCGATGCCAATCGGGAGATTGCAAGTACACACGGGCAGGACGATCCATTGGAGTGCGGGAAGCAATGGGGCATGATCCAAAGTCGGAACGTCAAGGTAGGCCATGCATTACTTGAACAAGTTCGTCGCTATCTAATGTTTCTATGTTCCAGCGGAGAACTGGCGCGCGTCCACCGCCCCCCGCTGCTCCAACTGTGAAGGCACCGGCTGCAAAGGCATCGAAGCCTTCGATTGCGTCGACAGTGCCTGCTAAACGGCCGCTACAAAAGGAAGCATCACCAGCAAAGACGGAAGCTACCAAGTCCGATGAACCGAAGTCTGAGACATCCTCTGCTGCCAACTCCCAGGCATCCTCGAAGCCTTCGGGTAAAGTAGTGCCGGCCAAGCAGAAAGGCAATCTTTTCAGCTCTTTCGCCAAGGCAAAGCCAAAGTCAAAAGCATCAGCTCCCGCAGAACCGGTTCGTTCAATCTCCTGTGCTGTAAATCGCTATCATATTACGTAATTTGTTTCACTAACTTTGACTACAGGCTGCACCGAGTGCAGAAGATAGTTAGTTAATCCTACTTGGCTAGAAACCATTAGCTAACCTGATCTAGTTGTCCTCGATGATGCATCTGAAGAAGAGGCAGAAGATTTGTTCCCTGATAGCACCGATAAAACAGCAGTAGCAAACCGCGAAAACAGGAAGGAGCGCGAGGAAAGGCTCAAGAAGATGATGGACGACGACGATGATGATGAGGCTGACGGTATACCGTGTTCCTCAACCACCAACCTGAAAACAACCAACTGACCTGAATCCAGACGAAGAAATGCCCGATGCCGATGAGGAGCCACGGGAGCCCACACCTGTTGAACAACCGCCACCATCTAAGCCAACTGAACTTAAAGAAGAAGTGACTGTGCAAGGTGGACGGCGGCGAGGCAAGCGGCAAGTCATGAAGAAGAAGACGGTCAAGGACGAAGAAGGGTACATAGGTTCGTGCTTACCGCCCAGGTTCCTTTGTCTGGTGAGATGTTCTAATTTTTTGTAGTCACCCGGGAAGAAGCGACATGGGAGTCTTTCTCTGAGGATGAGCCGGTGCCTAAGAAGAAGCCCGCGGTTAATGTTTCCAAGGCGAAGGCTGGTAAAGCAGCGGGGCAGGGAAATATCATGTCTTTCTTTGGGAAGAAATGAGGTGGTATTATTGAGTTATTGAGATGTCCAATGAATTTTTCGAAGCATAGACATTTAACACCAAAGCACCATGCACATGCACATCCAACACATTCTATGTCAAATGCATCAACCCCAAAAGGGAATTCCGCGATGTCGATCTGATCCACATTTGCTGTGGGGAAGAGTGTGATTGTGTCGTGACCGATGTCACCCGGTGTACGGAGGACTTCAGATTCCTATGTTATAGGGAATTGCCCTGGAGTTTCTAAACAGGGCCGTGTAGCTCAAAAGATCCTTGTCAATAGCACGGAGAGATTAGCGCGTAGTGGAATGTGACCCTGTCTAGTTGGGATCGATATCCATTCCCTCTTTTTTACCCCGGTCTTTTCCCTATAGCAGTACAAGTCTATCGCTCACTTTTCGCCGACCTGATACTTGCACTATGGTCCTTTCTGCCGTGCTTACAGTCGCTTTGCTGGGCCTTCAGACTGGCGCTCTCCCAAATAGAGACGACCCAGCCATCTTGCGACGTGCCTGCCCAGACTACACCTCCTATGCATCAACACCTCAGTGAGTGTCTACAGTCTCATAGAGATGTGCCAAATATATTCTAATCGAGGCCTTAATGACACAGCACTCCCTATAGTGGTGGTCCCTTGAACCTTCCCTTTCAGCGACCTGCGGAACCATGTCGGACATTCTCATCACCCGCCGTGGAGAAGGTCATTGACGACATCACTTCGCGTTTAGTCGATAAAGACCTGGCTCAGCTCTTTCGAAATGCATTCCCGAATACCCTCGATACTACGATTCGGTGGCATACGAACGGATCAACAACATCAGGCACCAATGCGAGGCGGGACGGCGCGCAATGGACCGGCGCGCAGACCTTCGTCGTAACGGGTGACATCAACGCCGAATGGCTGCGTGACTCAACCAACCAGATCACAAACTACCAGAAACTGGCTGCGAAGGATAAGAGCCTTTACTCGCTCATCCTAGGCGCCATCAACACCCAGTCCGAGTTCGTTATCCAGTCGCCCTATTGCAATGCTTTCCAGCCACCGGCTCTCAGCGGCATCAAGCCAGAAGCCAGCAGTCAAAAGGATACTGTGCATCCTGCCTATGATGAGTCTTTTGTATTTGAGTGCAAATATGAACTTGACTCTCTGGCCCATTTCCTACAGCTAGGCACTGAGTTCTATGAGAACACTGGTTCCACCGAGTTCTTAACCGAACGATGGTACAAAGCGCTGCAAACTGTCCTGAAAACTATTGATGCGGAGTCCCAGCCCACATTCAATTCGCAGGGCCACTTCGTTCAAAATCAGTACACGTTCCAGCGAGAAACCACCATTGGCACTGAGACCCTTAACCTAGCTGGTGTTGGCAACCCGCTAAACAGCGAGACCGGTCTAATTCGCAGTGCCTTCCGGCCTAGTGATGATGCTACGATCCTAGGCTTCTTCATTCCACCCAACGCTATGATGTCCGTGCAGCTCCAAAAGACAGCGAAAGTCATCAAGGCCGCCGGTGGGCCTGCAAGTCTCGTTGCAGATCTGCAGGAACGCGGCACCAAACTAGCTCAGGCAGTTCGCGATCACGGTATTGTTCAACACACCAAATATGGAGATGTTTACGCCTTTGAAGTCGATGGGTACGGGTCACGAATTCTCATGGATGATGCTAACATCCCATCACTACTCTCGTTGCCCTACCTCGGATTTCTAGACAAATCAGACCCCGTCTATCAGAACACACGAAAAATGATCACGGACAAGGCCACGAATCCGTACTACCTGGTAGGTCCGCAGTTCCACGGCATTGGTGGCCCACACATCGGTCTTGAGAACGCCTGGCCCATGTCTCTACTTGTCCAAGCCATGACCTCTGACAATGACGCTGAGATTATTGGAAATCTCAACCTCGTTCGTAACGCTAGTCTGCTCGGGCTTGTCCATGAATCTATCAATGTGAACAACATCAAAGAATACACCCGTCCGTGGTTTGCGTGGGCGAACTCGGTCTTTGCGCAAACTGTTCTTCAGATTGCTGCTGAGAGGCCTCATTTGATCTTCGGTATCAATGCGAAACCTTATACTGTCTAAGAAGGTTGACAAAATGCCTGCTTGGTGATTGGGCTTCTTTGGCGTTTCCTGAGAATACCCGTCAATATTAAACCTCTTCGTCCTTGTATCATTATCTCCATTCCTTGCATGATTTTTCGAATGTGGTAATTTTTTTTTGTCAATTCATTCATTAGAAGTTCGGCACTTTTTTCCAACCACCTTGTCTAGCTTGAACCTCAAGATGGGTTAGATAACGTTGCGGCATGTCCCAGGTACCCAAACGGGCCGTTCCGAAAGTCCTAACCTTGGAAGGGACCCACTTTAAAAGTCGACAAAAAGCCACCTGACTTCAGGGCTGAGTCAGTTTGCCAGCAAATTCCAAATTAACTCCACAGAGGATCAGACTGGTACTCCATCGGAAAGCGAACGTCAACTGTCCGCTATACAATGAACACATGATGGGATCCACTCCACCCTTTTTTGTTATACCTCTTTTACAAACTCTTCAATACCTTCATCCATTCCACTGGAGATGGTCCAATACTTGCACGAGCTCATGGATTTTTTTCAAGAAAAACCTGTCCAACCCAATGTTATTCTAATTTTAGTACCGATTGCTCTAGGGCTTATTTCTTGACAACCTAGTAAGCGAAGAACAAAAGATCCCCTATCTCCCCCGCGGCGGCTAACGGCCCTCGGATCCGATATGTTGTTGGCCATGTCTTGATGTCCATCTTAATCCTTGAGACCGTGGAGAAGCAAGCCAAAGGCTCTGACCTCGGGAACAAGAAGCCTCCCTCCAGTCGCCACCTACTCCAAACCACTGCTGTCCTCTACCACAAAGGCGGCGTCCATTTTCTCTTCAATGGCATCGGTGTTGCCTGCTTCTACTGGATATTGCACTCCTGGGTGGTAGAAATATCGAGCATTTTTTTTCCCCAGTCCAGTCGCATATACCATTGCATCAGTCCTACTAGCCGAGTACCATTTCTTCTGGACCGCGCACATTGTCCTTTCGCGCAACCAGATGCACCTCGTATCTAAACTCTATGACTACCAACGGTGGAAAGCCCTAGTAATTCCCACTTTGGTCTATGCCGTGGCCGATGCGGTGATGATATATGCGCCAGCTCTATTCAATAGCGACCTCGCCCCTTCGGACGAGGAAGTCACGATGGTGGAAATGTCGTACCTTGTGGCATCTGATATCCTGGTAGCTGGGTGCATGCTATTTGACCAATTATTCCTCCTTCTTCCCTCTTACGTAGTGTTAATACTGGTCCAGACGAGTCTTCTGCCGCCCGCCTGCAAGACGCTAGTCTCAATGCCGACACAGCAGCAGTGGGGTAGACAGGTGAAGGAGATCTTTGAGGCTAACGGAGGTCCGCTTCGAGCACAGGAGGCGGGCGCGGATGGTAGGGGTGGCACAGGTGCTCTGGTGTCTGCAACTGCATGGAAAGATGTGTTTTTGTTTGTTTGGGGTTGCCACGTTGGTGCATTGCACGATCTACTTGCTCTAGAAGGGAATGCCAGCGTCGCTGACTACACCTTCATGCCTGGTTTCTCGATGCGAATTGGTCTTGTGGATCAACTAGGTCGTGGGTTTAGTTATGGAGAGGGGGAGGATGACAAGGGGAATTATCAGTATGGCAGCCAGGTTTCTCCGAGATAGCTTCCACTGTCTTAAAAGACCAACCAAAAGACGATCAAAGGCCACCAACACTGCGGACTATTCTTGTTGTACTGATAAATAATCCTCCCTAGTAATTGAGATCAACTACGTTCAACATCCATAAACTAATGCAGAACCCAACTTTCCGTCCGACTATCGACCGTCTCTTCTCAAGCGTCTTTCACCGAGTGCGAACCACCTTTATCTTCTCCCTCGGTGTCAATCCCGCCACAATCACTTCACTTCTGCCGCTGACTGAATGACCCCGCGCATCACGACTAATCTGCTCAATTCTAACCCGACGTCTTTCCCAGCTTTGTATAACCTACACCTTTCATAATCTACTGTGCTTCTCGAACACTCTTTGACAGAGCCCTGATTGGCATGAATTTGAGCAAGACAGAGTCATACCTCTAACATAGACGTTGTCAGAAGAACAATCTTTGGTAAGTTCGAGGATACTCATAAGCTGTTCCATGAACATTTTCGCAATCAGGACTTGATGATAACCTAGTTCTCGCCTGTTGGCAATTGGTTCCTTACCCTCAAAAGGGAAGGCTGCAGAAATCCTATCAAATTGCTACCAGCAAGCTCCCAATTTACATGACATTCCCAAAGTGCGTGAGCCCGTCCAATGCAATCGGCGAGCACCACGTATCCCAGTTCTCGCGCGGCACATTTCCAGGCAGAAAGAGGTCCGCTGGGTCCCCTTCGGTCGTATGGGCATGATCGATTCTGTAGCCCAGCTTGCGATGTCGCCAGCGTACAATCTCGGGAACTTTGTCTGCTTCTTCCAACTCTGTGGTGCAGGAGGAGATGTCATGTATTCGTACATGGTGGCGTGAAGGTTGCGGTGCAGGTCTGTCTTGTTCCGATTGCGGATGTCTAGTTGCGGGATTAGGGGCTCGCTGTATGGGGCTGTTGCAGGGAAGAGATTGTCGGCCAATCTGATGTTGTAGTTAGTGTTGCGGGGAAATGAATCGATAGCTACATAAGTATATAGGTGTATTGGACTATTTCATGGACTATTTCATGATTGGAAGTACAAGGCTATTTGATGCAGAGAAGACCAAGCTCGGTCAACTGAGAAGAGTGTGAGGAGAGCCACTTGTCCGAGGCTGAAGTGCTGGTCTGCTTTTTGTGTTTGATGGAGGGGAGTTTTGCATTTCTGTCGTTATTTTTTGGGTATATGGTATTAGAGTCCGAGTTGATTGGTCCTTGTCTTTGTTTAGGGCACTCATGTCTGCGTGCCCTGCGTTTCCTCGAATCGGCAAACGGCTTTCTTCATCGCCCACAAATGCTCCTTGACATCCTGGCAGTTCCACCGCTTCTTCGATTTGGGTTCCAACATTCTTTTGATACATGTCATGAGATAATCCGCAACTGATGTTCCATTGTCCAGCACAGTCGAGCCATGATCGATCTTGGCGGCGAAGTCCGCAGGGAAAATGGTGCGCTCAGCTGGATCCTGGCCTGACCCGCGAGTCAGATCACTCAAGACAAATTGTCTCTCCATCTTCGTATTTAAACGATAGATAGTCTCGAAAAGAATGACGCCAAGCGCGTAAACATCGAGCTTTTCGTCGATCTTGTATTCGTCAAAGTAATCCACTGATGAGCTCGGGTCGCTTGGAGACGCAGACAGATTGGCTGGAGGACGATAGAACTCGGTTCCAACTACCCGCTGTATTTTTGGCCCCTCTCGATATGGTGTCACAGTGCCCTGAGAAGGCTTGTTGATGTGAGAAATGTCGGCCACGAGACCAAAATCTCCAATGCGAGGACAGCAGAACTGGGTGGGAGAAGCTTCACTGGAGCTGCAAGTATTGCATGTGCCTGTTGTGCTGCTATCTGGTGCAGAAAGGAAGATATTTGCAGGCTTCAAGTCACGATGCACGATTCCTTTTGAGTGCAGGTACTCTACACCCGAAACAATGTCCATCACGAGATTCAGCGAGGGCAGTAAGTGGAAGCAGTGGCGTCTGGCGAGTGAAAGTTCATCGTACTTCGGAGCGGCTTGAGGGTTTAGGTATGCGCCGAGTGAAATAGGATGGAGTGACATTTGGATGTGAAGAATAACCGCGGGGGGTTGCTGACCGGGCCGGTAACGGGGTTGAACTTGAAGCTTAGACTGATCTTGGCTCAAACCATCAGTAAAGATGTCGTCGGTTTCTCCGAAAGTAGATGTTTGTCCAACAGAAGTGTTCCCATGGAAGGTACGGGGAATGGATTCAATTTCATCATCTTCCTCATGCAATCCCTTTCGGGAGCTTTTCTTGGACTGATTGGACGAGGCTGTCCCGTGGCTATCCCAGCGATGAACGCTCTCGGTAAAGCTATGATCTTCAGGCAGAGAACTTGACTCGGACTCGAGCTTTGAATTTTCTGAATATCCGAAGACAATCCCCATGCTCGATTCGTTTGGGCTATCTGGAGATGACAAATTGTTTTGCGAGTTTTCAAAAGCTGCGTGAGAAGGGTGGTATTCGGCTGAAGGCGGGTGAGAGTGATGAGCCTGCTCGACCCATGCCCCATAGTATCGAACAATATTTGGATGCTCAAGGCGGGCAAGCGTTCGAATTTCCTTCATGATAACCTCGAGCTGATTTTGACCTCCAAATTGCAGTTGCTCAAGTCGCCTTTGGCTGAGAGGAATTTTCTTAACGGCATAGTCTTGTCCATCGATATGGTTTGTAACGTGGTACACTTCGCCGAAGGACCCGCGGCCCAAGATCTTGAGTTCCTGGAATTCGACGGAATATCTTGACAGCTGGTTGTATGGCGGGGCTGTTGGAGAATGGAAAAGAGGAACCCCTACAGGCGAACTGCCAAACAAAGGTATTGAAGGGTTGGGGAAGTTCATTGGCTCATTGGGAACGGTTGGAAGGAAATCCACCTTTTTAGAAGGAGGTAGCTGTTTCCTAAATGATGAAGCTGGTTCGGTGTTCCGCCGGAACAGAGTAGGACTTTCCACATCTTCAACGCTGGGTCTCCTTGTAGAAGGCTTTGTAATTAAGGCGCGGTCCTCGCCGGAGCTAATTTTCGAAAATCGTGCACCAGGTTCATGGAAATTCATCTCCTCGAGGGCAGATATACTAAGCAAGTCGAGGTTATCCCGATAATTCTGCCTACTTGGCCCCATTTCCTCTTTGTCAATGCCATCGGCCAAGATACCGTGAGTCGACAGGAACTGAGATTTGAATTTGTAGAGTTTCTTGCCAAGATACTGAGCCTCAGGGCTGTGTCGACTGAACGGTTTATTAGAGCCGCGTTGGGCATTGAGAATATCTGCTGCTCGACTCTGACAGTAAAATTCCAAGAGGGCGGCTGTCATCACAGTCGCATGTTGATCAGCATTTACACCTGCCAGATCTTGTGGTAATGTTGATCTATCGCCGAAGGAGATCGAAGAGTCTGCATCTGCAGAACCCGAGTCTTTCGGAACTTGCTTGGTTTGGTCCTTCTTCGAGCCGCGGGATTGATTCTCTGGAGGATGTCGAGGAGTAGATGAACCACGTTCCTGAATTTGACTTGCCTCTGAACCTGAGTCAGAATCTGAGTCCGATGATATTTCTGCTGCTGATCGGAACATCGACATATTGATTCACTTTCATTCCAATAGCACTTCCAATGACGACTTGAATTAGTGCTGTGTCAGCGCCATTGGCGATTAAAGGCGAAATACAAAGTCAAATTTGAAGAGAAGAAGAAGAAGAAGATGGGAAAGAAACTCGCGGCCAAAAGTCGATATAAACCGCGCTGTCTTGCGGAGCCTTGGGCTGATTGTTGCCCCGCAGTATAAATAAGAGAGCCCTTTAATCAAGGGCAATGATGCAAAACCGAAAAAGGAGTAAAGTGAATAGGGGCCAGATACCCCTTGGACGGAGATGCCACGTTGGAATTGAGATCAAAAAGATGTAAACATGTCACAGAAGCCTAGCGGGGCGATGATTATCTCAAGCTTCCATCGGGTTCTACTAGAACGTCTCTGGAAAGGGCGTATGGTATACGGATCTTGGCGGAAGATTCGAAGGTTTCTGAGGATAGAAGATCAAACCATTCGTTCAGGAAATTCCGTAAACATATGCAATGAAGAAGTAGACAAACACTTGGCCTTGAGATAGAGTCATTCGATGCCAAGCCCAGGGAGGCGAGTTATCCGTTGTCGAACCCGTGGACTTGGCGGGCCTCAAAGGTGCAGTTATGGTAAAAGATCATGCCTATTTACCCAATGTTACTATTCACATATACACCCTTTATTTAAATTAAAATGCAAGGCTGCTACCTGACATGCGAAGCCACGAAAAGAAAAAACCCAGAGCTAAATGTGGCCTCGACCTTGTGACCAATCAGACCCCCGAATTTGGTTTCAATTTAACTTATCTTATCGCACGTGACTCTCACGCGTAAACGTCACGTCGAAAGCGCGACGGCGCGACTCTCACTAGGAGTTGCCCGCTCAGCACATTCTCAATTTTACGAGTTCACCCTCATTCCATATCGTTTCCACCACGAACTCGGACTGTGACTCTGTGAACCTCAGCTTCGGAGTCGCCGTCATGCCGGAAGCTATTTTCCCTCCCCAGAAGCGGGTGCTAGGCGACGCGGCTAATAATTCCAACGGTATCTTGAAATCTGCGAGTGCCATCAAAAAGCGGAGACTCGACAACGAACATTCTGTGCAGTTTACGCCATCCTCACAGATTGCTCGGCGAAAGATTGGCTCGACTCAACCGCAGAAGAGTCAATTCGAAGAGGAGGTGCTCGAAAAGTTGACGCAGGATATCGGCGACTTGAAGGAGAATAACTCAGAGAAGGACCAGCAATGGGAGCGCCCTCCGCTTGGCGAATTTGATGAAACCAAGGAAACCATCTGTTTTCAACAGATTGATGCGGAAGAAGCAATGCTCATGGGAAAGCCGGCCATTCGGCTTTTCGGTGTCACCGAGGTAAATGTCCTTGCCATTCGCTGGCTTTTCGTATCTAACAACCTTAATAGGCCGGACAATCGGTCTGCCTCCATGTCACTGGTTTTGAACATTACCTTTACATCGCCGCTCCTGTAAGCTTCACCAAAGCGGATTGCGACCCTTACAAACATTTCCTAGAGCAAAAGCTAGGCCAGAGCTTTACCGCAATCTCCTCCGTGCAGCTCACAATGCGCGAGAACATCTATGGATTCCAAGGAAATCAAAAGAGCTATTATATAAAGATCACGGTTACTGAGCCAAAATTGGCTGCTCGATTGCGAAGTGCGTTAGAGACTGGGAGTGGAAGCATGAACTACAAGGGCATGTGGAGCGGTGCAGATGGAATCCTCACATTTGACAACATTCAATACCTTCTAAGATTTATGATCGACACCGGGCTGGCTGGAATGGCTTGGGTCGAGGCAATGGCTGGTAAATATCGTCTTCTTGGACAGAGTCAACGACTGTCCAACTGCCAAATCGAAGCTTGTGTGGACTACACCAACATGGTAGCCCATCCACCAAATGGGGAATGGGCTAAAATGGCACCTCTTCGCGTTCTCTCCTTTGATATTGAGTGTGCAGGACGGAAAGGTATCTTCCCGGAGCCCAACATGGACCCAGTGATCCAGATCGCCAACGTTGTTACTCGATACGGAGAGACAAAACCATTCATCAGAAACGTCTTTGTACTCGATACCTGCAGTCTGATTGTCAATACCCAAATTCTGGAATTTGAAAAGGAAGAGAAGATGCTCAACGCCTGGCGCGATTTTGTGGAAAAAGTCGACCCTGACGTTATTATCGGATACAATATTGCTAACTTCGATTTCCCTTACCTACTCGATCGCGCCAAGCACTTGAAATGCACAGGGTTCCCCTATTGGACTAGACTGAAAGGTTTCAAAACAGAGGCGAAGGATGCAAATTTTTCGAGTAAGCAAATGGGCAATCGAGACACGAAAGCCACGAACACAAACGGTAGAATTCAACTTGATCTTCTCCAATTGGTTCAGAGAGATCACCAGTTGAGAAGTTACACTCTCAATTCCGTATCCTACGAGTTTTTGAAGGAGCAAAAGGAAGACGTTCACCACACGATGATTACTGAGCTGTTCAACGGTACCCCGGATTCGAGACGACGACTCGCAGTGTACTGTCTGAAAGATGCATATCTACCGCAACGATTAATGGACAAGTTGATGTGCCTGGTTAACTACACAGAAATGGCAAGAGTCACGGGGGTGCCGTTTAATTTCCTCTTGTCTCGAGGACAACAAGTCAAGTTCATCAGTCAACTGTTCCGGAAAGCCCGAGAGCAGCAACTCGTTATTCCCAATTCTAAGCCCCAGGATGAGCAGGATTATGAAGGTGCTACTGTCATCGAGCCGAAGCGAGGTTACTATGGAGTGCCTGTTGCAACCCTCGATTTCGCATCACTGTATCCATCAATCATTCAAGCTCACAACCTATGCTACACGACCTTGCTTAACAAGAGCAGTGTTGAGAAGTTGAACCTGAAGAAGGATGACGATTACATCGTCACTCCAAATGGAGACATGTTTTGCACGACCAAAGTTCGCAAAGGCCTTTTATCCCAGATTCTGGAAGAGCTGCTGTCGGCAAGAAAGCGCGCGAAGAGGGAGTTGGCTACTGAGACCGACTCCTTCAAAAAGGCAGTGCTGAACGGTCGTCAACTCGCTTTGAAGATCAGCGCAAACAGTGTCTACGGTCTGACGGGTGCCACAGTGGGTAAACTACCTTGTCTTCCCATTGCCAGTAGTACGACGAGTTATGGCCGTCAGATGATTGAGAAGACAAAACAAGAGGTAGAAGCTCGCTACACGATCGCCAACGGTTACTCGCATGATGCTGAAGTCATCTACGGCGATACTGATTCCGTCATGGTCAAATTTGGCGTCACCGAACTCGCAGAAGCGATGCGGCTTGGCCAAGAAGCAGCAGACTTTGTTTCTTCAAAGTTCATTGCGCCCATCAAGCTTGAATTCGAGAAAGTATACTTCCCTTATCTCTTGATCAACAAGAAACGATACGCTGGCCTGTACTGGACAAACCCCGACAAACATGACAAGATGGATACGAAAGGGATTGAGACAGTCCGGCGTGACAACTGCCTGATGGTTCAAAATGTCATTGAAACCGTGCTAAACAAAATCCTGATCGACCGAGATCTTGATGGTGCGCAAGAGTAAGTCAATTTATCCTTCAACCCAGCCTATCAAGAGACTAACATAATCTCTAGCTACGTCAAAGCCACCATTTCGGATCTGCTTCAAAACAAGATCGACATGTCGAAACTAGTCATCACGAAAGCGTTATCTAAGCGTAAAGAGGACTACGCAGGCAAACAAGCACATGTCGAACTTGCTGAGCGCATGCACAAGCGTGACGCAGGTTCTGCACCAACACTTGGTGATCGGGTAGCCTACGTCATGATCAAGGGTTCCAGTGATTCCAAGGGCTATGAACGAGCTGAAGATCCCATCTTCGTTCTGGAGAACAACATTCCCATTGACACCAAGTACTACCTTGACAACCAGCTTACAAACCCACTTAACCGTATTTTCGAACCCATCTTGGGTGAGAAGAAGGCAGGCCAGTTGCTCACTGGCGAGCATACCCGGTCTATCACCAAAGCGGCGTCGAACCTCGGCGGGCTGATGAAGTTCGCCAAGAAAACACAGACTTGCATGGGCTGCAAGAAGCCCCTTTCCAGCAAGGACGAAATGGAGGGTGCCGTCTGCTCGAACTGTCGCCCTCGCCTCGGTGAGCTTTACACGAAAACCCTCACCAAGGTCTCTGATCTAGAGGTCCGATTCGGGCGCCTGTGGACTCAGTGCCAGCGATGCCAAGGTAGTCTTCACTGTGAGGTCATCTGCTCCTCCCGTGATTGTCCGATTTTCTACATGCGCATGAAAGCAAAGAAAGATGTGGAAGATTCACAGAAAGACCTGTCCCGATTCGACTTTGACGCTGGTGCTTGGTAATGAGAGGTAGCTCTCTATTGTATGACTTTCCTTTTTTGTTCTTGAATAGCTGGCTTTTTGAGTGGCACTGTTAGGCCTTTAGCATCAGTGGCGTTGGAGCTTGAAAACAATGTGCAATGAGATTGAAATTATAACAAGCAGCGGCTCGTTTTTTCTTTTTTTTTCTTTTTTTGGCCATCTTTTGCCAGATCCAATGAGACTGTAGGCCGAGTGGAAACACGATCGATAACAGGAACAAGAAATCATCGGACTGAAATAATCAGGTTGAACAACGGATTTCTAGTCAATCTCCAAGAATTTCTCTCTACTTTTTGTTCTCTGTCGTATGTTTAAAGCCCGGAAGCGCGTCATCTGCGAAGCCGAACTCTTGGCGCGGAGTAGCTGCCGATCTTCAATTTCACCATGACTTCCAAGTCCAAACCCACCATGAATCCCACAGTGGAGGATGAAGTTGGCGATGCCCATACTAATCCAAATGCCCAACCCAATGCAAATGATATATCAGTCCCATGGTCGGAGGTATGCTTTTGTGGCGCTAGACGCAACCCGAAATATGGACATTTTGATGGGAGCTGTAACTGACCAGCTTTTTCTTTGCGACCAGATTTTCTCCCGTCACGAGGCCGTTCTCTGCTCCCATCTCGAAATGCTTAGCATGGTGAAGGAGCAGATTGCTCCGGAGGTCAATGGCTTCCAAACCGTCTCGTCAATGGTGAACAAAACAGTGTTGGCGATGAACCAGCTGAAGATAGCTAGAAAACACATGGTGAGTAGTCTGTTCAATTTCCTTTCTCAAATCTCATCACTGACTGTTTCTTGTGTAGATGAGCAGTAGGTTCCACCGAACTCCTCCCCCCGGAAACAAGAAAGCAACCCTACCCCGCCCTTTCACCAAGCAAATGAAAACCGGAATTGACATGATAGTCTTCAGAAACCGCAACACCCTCAACCTCCAGTTCCTCTAACTCTTCCAACCCCACACAATCGACTGACACAGAGGCCAATACCCGCAAGAAAAGACGCAGAATCTCGAGGGACACCGACACAGACCGTCCTGGGGCTACGGACGAGACGCGAGCTCCCAAACGATACCGTGACTCCTCCTTCCAGCCAAGCACCGAGCAAGATGGAGAATTTGTGTCGTTTTCACTTGGAACAGAAGATATCTCCGCAGAAGTCCAGCGACGACTGAAAATCAAGGAGGAGCAACGTTTGAAAAAAGAAAACCCCAAAGCGGATAAACGCAAGCGCGATAGTCTCGCCTCAGATGAAGGTGAATCGCCTATTACATCCAGGCCTCGGAGAAAACGGTTTAGGCTGGGAACTGCGTATCAGAGATCTAGTGATTTGGCGGACAATGACGCGGGTTCTCCGAACAAGAAACGACGCACATCGCCCTAAACAAAATACGGAATGCTTTGCAAGAGATCTTGAGCAATGCTGGTCCGTTACTCGGTTTCTGTGTGCTTCTATCGAGTTTGCGGTTCGTCTACTAGCAGATTCTCAACACTCGGGGAAGAGGCAATAATACTTGTGTTGGGCGATACTGCTGACAGCCCTTCCTGAAGCTCTTCTTCGAAATTATACCTCCTCGGTTATAGTTCCTGATGTCTGTCCTATTGATCGCTGTCCAGGTATGGTTTCTGTCCATCGAATCACAACCCCCTATAAGTAGCCTCTTCTCACGATAGTCGGAAAAATAAGGTACGAGGTTGGTATGAGTAGAGGCATAAACCAAAGGAATGGCTGTGATCGAAACCTCGAAGAACTGTCGAGTGAGAGGAGAGCGTGAGCAAACAGATGTCAATCAATCAATCAAAGTTCAATTAACCTGTTACAGTCTAACTAGTTGCGTATGACTATGCAGGCGCTTTTCCAACCGAAGCAAGAACTCGAGACCCAACGCCGAGCGGGATCGCTCCCAGAGTATACAGATGATGCCGAAGTGAGGAGTGCAGAATCAGCCCATTCCCGTAACCCGTTCAACCCACACCCAAAAACACACATCTTTGCGCGAACCTAATTTTTGAAATTGCACCACAACGCCTTGGGCTACAGCCTCCATTTTAACTGCAAGTTAATTGTAACTTCCGGCTGCATCTCGTGATACCAATCATATATTGGTCCGAGCATGGTGCTACCGGGGAGCGCGTGGCCGCTCCTTTCAGGGGGCCGCGAAAACTCTGCACGAAATACCAACGAGCGCATATTAGATGCAAACTACGACGTGCGCCAGCTGC